AAGTAAAGATTGTGGTAAATTTGTATTAAAATGGCAACAATTAATTTTGGAATTTTTTTTCTGCTAGCAATGTTTTTTTGAGTTTGAGAAGCACAAACACCAAAACTGCCTGAGCAAATATGAGTTATAACTTAACTTTAAATCGTGAGGTTTATTTTGGGACCAAATTAAAAGCATGTGCATTTGGTGCAGGTGCACCCATCAGACTGCAACAAGGGATATTCGTGTCACCCTTATAAATAATAACGGCTCTTACTGTAATCACCGAAGTCTGATTGAACGAAATTGTTCAAATCACCTCAAAGCTTAATCTCTTTTTCCTCAAAATAACACCTAGGCGTAAGTCGTGTTTTTCTAGCTGAGCGTGCAGAAAAACATTGTTTGGTTGAACGTATGTCAACACATTCGGTTGTGCAGTTGGTAAACGACATGCTTTTACAGTTAATGATAAACACATTTGTACCACTTCAACACATCCCGACAAAAAGAAGCATGACTCATTTTTCAGACCTTTACACACAATAAGATGAATTGATCCGACTCTGACCTCTGCTGCAAACTGTTACACCCGCCTTAACTATTATCACTTAATTATAACTCCTCCACTCCACGGACCTTTTCACACCCGTGAGTCACCGATGGAGGCACTCATTACAAACAAAACGAGGCAAAGAGTTCTCTGAATCTGATTTGTTCAATAGGAGAAGGAAAGCCCACTGCTTTGTTGCAAAAATGACAGCTTGTCATTCATTTTTATTTGTGGAAAAGTAAAAAAGGGCAAAAGTCTCAACAGCAGCAATGGCACACTGTTGAACAGACCTTTCACAGAGTTCAAGCTTTTCAGTGGTGAAATGAAGCCGTATTATATAACATTTTAATGATTCTTTGGAACACAATAAATAATTAATTTGTTGACCAATGTAGCTGCAGATTATGAAAACAAGTTACAGTTACATGCACTGCTGTTCAGCCTTTTAGTAATATTCTACCAGCTTAACACAGATGTGCAAAATGCAGATTTGTATTTGAGAGGAAACGTTGGAACAAAACCAAGTTATTTCCATGAACTTCCTGTGAACATTTTTATCCACTGGTCTTAGTTTATTGACTTTGCTGGCAACAAAAATTCAATATCTGTAAAAACATTTTCTCTAACAGCTGGAAGTGTGGCTGCACATTAATACTTGAAACTGCTCAATAACTTAGACATTTGTGACATTTTGTCTGAAGCTCTTAGACACTTGAAAATTGACAAAAATCTCCTTAAATAAGCAAAAAAAGAAAAACTACATCTTTACATGTTCATCCTGTCTGGCACCAAATCCAGAATCTTTTCTTTATCTTTTTTTTTCAAACTATGTGCATTTTAAAAGTTCCATTAAAGTACATTTACTTTCCCAATCCATCGCTTTTATTTGCTTCATGTTTTAAGGAAATGCCAGAAAAGTAAATCATCCTTTAAACTTAATGTTATCTTATTTCCAAGATCAAAATCTCTCAGGTTCAAAGGAACAGGTGCCTTGTATATATATGTATAGATGTATAGATGTATATACTGTATGTA